CCACAGGAAAGGTGAAAAACACGGAATAAGAGTCACCTGATACTGAAATGAGAGTCAGAAACGATTTTGTATAGAAATGTTAAGATTTAGCATAGCCCGTTTCTGTCCCAATGCTAAAGTTGATGAGCCACTTCCCACCCCCCGCTTTTCTACTTCCTGTGAAGAAAACATGCAGGAGAAAGTGGTAGGCGAAGTGCCCTCCTGACTCAGGCAATCAAGGCCTGATGGGCAACATACTGATCCCACATTGCCTCTACTTCTTAAATTCCTTCGGTGAATATGCATTACCTTATCACAGAATAAGTCCAAGGGTAGAAAATTAATAGAGCTCTCAATGACCTGGCTTCCCCTCAATGTTACAGCCTCATCTCTGATGCTGTGATGGTAAGTTATCTCCCTGGACATCACATTCTTTCCAGTCTCTGTGCCTTTGCTCATGTTGCTCCACCATCTGAGTGCACCATTGCTAACATGCTACCAATAACTCCTCACAGTCCTGCAAGGACCACTTGGCATTGTCTCCTCTGGGTAAATTCCCTGAATCCTGAGAGTACTTTAAGTTCTTTCCTTCAACCATTTCAGTGCACCTGTAAAGACTTATTTCAGAGCATTAGTTGCCTTTTACTGAAATTATGCTTGTGTGTTTACTCCCCGTCTGTTAGAGAGTGTGACCAGTCCATCTTTCTACCATGAACCCTTAGCACAGTCTTTGGCTTATTGTATGCATTTAGTCTATGTTTGCTGATCTGAATTCCACTAGGTTTTGGAGATCCATGAGTTAGCTCACTCATTTATTTTTTTCCCAGATACAGTATTGAGTGAAATTTTATGTTCAATTATACAAGGGTATACCAGTGAACAGATAAAGTGCTTGTTCTCAGGAAATGTGTATCTTAATAGAGGAAGATTAACAATTACCAAGTAAACAAATGAACAAAGATACAGAGTCTGAAGGCAATAAATAAGGTACTGACTGGGGTTAGGGAGTAGACTGAAGGGTGGGCAAGGTTATCAGGTACTTCAGCAGGTGGCTCTCAATCACATCATCAGCAAAGGTGAACGAATTATAGAAGGGCAAAGATCAGAATAGAGTTATTTCTTTGTTCCTGAAAGGGATATGCTAAGATGGTAAGGAAAGAGATATAGCATGCAATAATGCATATTCACTTAAGCTTTATGTTTATAAGAAACCTTGGCCACATAGTTAAATTTGGGGTTCCTAAACACAAGGTCAGTGGTTCAAACCCACAACGCACTCTGTAGAAGGACGATGGAGCAATCGACATCTGTAGATCTATCTTGTCCTAGAGAGCTGCTGTGGTTGGGGATTGACTTGAGGCTGGTGGATTTGGTCTGGTTTGTGTCTTATGTTTATCTTCATAAACTGCTTTATAACACTTGTTGTATAATCCTTATTATTATTACCAGTCATTATTATTATAGCAAAATACCTTTGTATAATGTCAGATGGCTTTCACTTTCCTAGACATTTTTCACAGAAAATCTCTTCTTATGTACAAATCATGGATTAGAAAACTGAGACTAACACAAGGTCAGTGACCTATTCAAAGAATATGATAAAAACGGCAAAGTCGGTTTTCTGACTTAAAACCCAGGGGTCTTTTCATTATACCACGCTGCCTGTGTTAGAGCCCTTTCAATACCCCTCTCCCTAGAGGGGCTCCAGCCCGGCACTCTCTTCATGTTGCTGACGTTTTAGGGGCTGAATTTCCCTTAAGAACGGACAGCTCGGGCTCCCTGTGACCTGGTCAAGTTGTACTTTCATCCTCCCAAGGAAGTCATGTAGGTAAGCATGACAGAGAACACAGGTCTCATGAAAAATATTTCTTAGTTTACAAACATGTGAATGCACTCAGCAAATATGTACTGTGAACCCATGACGTGCCGAGAACTGTTCAATGAGCCAGGAAGACAGAATCGAATGCGAGACAGACAAGGTGAAACAGGAAGAGGAACAGGAAACTCTCTGTGACGTTTAAGCGGCACAAGCACCTGATTAACAACTGATGTGTGTGAGAAACCACAACAATTTGATGAAGATGCGTCCTGGCTGGCTCCTATCTTAGAACTGTAAGAGCCTCAGATTAAAATGATTAAAAAAGAATAACAAAAGAAAATGTGGCTACTCTTTGTTATAGATGAAATACTGCCCATTCCGGTGTTACGAGGTGTGTTATTATGTGTGAGCCCGTTGTTGCAGCCCCTGTGTCACAGTGTGCACAGGTAGGTGTGGACACAGGTACAAGAGGTGTGGACACAGGTAAAATCCATAGCCACTCTTAGTAGAGCCATAGTCCAGCTTCCTGCTTTTAAATTAAGCCAATTGTGTGGTGCGCACAAAAGAAGCAGCATGGTCAGCAACAGAAAGCCCCAGCTTCCCTTCACCTGGCTCCCAATTTGGAGAAAATTAGACATGAAAGCATCCAGTTCCATCTGCGGTAACGATTGGCAAGAGAGAAGAATAAAAGGCAGAAAGGGGGACAAAGAAGGAAACTGTTCTGGGGGGCAGGTAAATGGGATCTGTCAGGGCGCTCACCCCCAAGGTAGCTGGAAGTTTTCATCTCTTGACTCATTGGGGGAAAGCAAGAGAAGAATTTCCCAGGCCTGCCCATTGCTAAGCAAATCACATTAATTAAATGGAAAGCAAGAACATGCCAGGACAACATTAGACTCGAAGACATGTGGTTAGAATATCCAGGCAAATGAGAAAGCCTCTCAAGTCCCTGAGAAAGATTGACCTCCTGTATGTGCACAGGTGGGGGAATAGGTTCCAAATGGGTCATCTCACCTACCCTCTCCCTCGGTGGTAATTTAGCTCTGTTTTCTAAATTGGTGTGGGTTCCTGATATAGGTTTTTGCGAAGATACACATATTCTTCACATTCATAACTGTTATTCCTATTGTTGACACTTGTTCAGAAATACCTTTAACTTTGACGTTCCTACATAAAACTTCTCACAGATTTTTAACGCGTCTGGCTTTCCACCTGGACGATGTCAATGTTGGCACATGTTTGTGGGAGTATACAAGGGTGGAGGAGTCTATCCACTGAGTTCTGTGTAAAATCGCTGTGCTTTTATGAGGCCTCTTTCAAAGTGTTCAGGAGCATCCGTCCTGATTAATAGATTGAAGATTTGTGGTGGAAGAATTGCTCCTTGGTCTCCTAATGCATAATTGAGAAAGGGTTCAATATTAGTGAAAATTAGTCCTAGAGGCCAGCCCTAGATCATATCTAGGGAGAAACTCCATACCCATTTCTGTTTCACTATAAGAATGGATAGTCAGACCATAGCAATCAATGCCTAACTCATTCATGGACCAGGCCCCTTTTAATGGGAATGTTCCTTTGTATTTCTGATGAGAGAGCAATTCCAACATTGTGTGATTTAACAACCTTTCAGGGTTCAGTTGACAGCCTTTATTCTACCCAAATGGAAGTAAGTCCCAGGGAACAGGTGTTCTATGTCCACCATGATTCTGCCCCAAATGACAGTGGAGTTCCCCAAGTCAGAAGGACTGGGTCAGAGCCATCGGACATTGGAAAGCACTCATTAGGTTCCCCTCTGTGATGTGTCCTTTTACACTGAGAACAATACAAAACTGTAATGAGATTTTTTCCTTGGTTTTTCTTTTTTCTTTTTTCTACCACTTCCTATAAATTCACGCATGGTTCATTGAAGCAGACTCAACTCAAATGTCATTAATTCTCCAAAAGGGACTTCAGCAAAAATGTGTAGTTCCTCTACTCAATTAGAACACTTGGTCTGTGACACTAAATAAAGAATGTATTACACTAGAATTCAGATCTTACCTTCATTTCCAGAGAATCAAGCCCTTGAGCCTGGAATACAAAGTCTGAAGAGAGCCACCCAGTTCAGCTATCATACAAACACACCCAGAAATATCCAATAATCATTTGATAAATTGGTTGACTCAGTGTGTACACCTACTATACAGCAGCCATGGCAGCCACAGTCCCTGCCTCGGCATGGCTTACAGTCAAGTTGAAGGAATGCATGCATGTGTGAAGTCATCTTCTGTATAACTGATGTTCAGTACACTCCAAATCACTACAATAAGAATAAAACATGCCCTGAGAGAAGGCTCATAAGATGTCGCAAGGGATTTTCATCGACAAGAGGGAACACTGTTGGCTTCTCAAGGACTCCCCCCAGGGAACTGGGAGAGATATCGTAGGCAATCAAGCTGAGCTGAAACAAAATGTGCAATGCACAGCTCTGATGACAGAATGTTCAGAAAGAAATCTGCCAAACCAAGCCTGACTCTTTTGCCTCAACAATTGACCTTAGAGATTGAACTTACATTTGACTAAAGCACTCTGGCTCTCAGACAGGGGTCTCCACATATCAGTTACAATGGTGATAAATGAAAAACAGCCAAGCCTCACTGCTTTCTCACAGCTCCTGGCTTTGAGGGAGCAGAGGGGAGGAAAAATTCAACTTCTGAATGTCAATATTATGGTCTCTGCATGTGCCTTGGACTCCCATAAATGAGACACTTGGAAACAACAGACGTGACAAAGGTAAAATAATCTGTACGCTATCATTTAGACCAGACGTGCCACCACAAAGTAAGCCACTTTGAAGCTTCCTTACTTGACAAGACCCACAATTAAGCCTTACACACATCTAGTGCCTGGAGATTTCAAAGGGGTTTTCCCCTGCATCATTCCTATCTCATGTAATGTCTAATGCACAGCTACTACCTACAAGTGAAGAGTCCCCATTAGTTGGGTTGGGGAGACTGAGTCACAGAGCATTTGTATAGCAAACCCAAGGTCACCTACCAATTTAAACTGGCACCCAAACCTCAGCCATCTGCTTACCAGTCCAAAGTCTTTTCCTGCTACAACATGGGGTCTCATGGACAGGCTTACAAGACAGACCCTGCATTGAATTGGACATCTCATTTGTGGTTAGAGTCATAGGGTACACTCAGTGGCATGCTGTAGACTTTACCTCTTTAAGGCAGCCCATGAAGTTGTTGCTGACAGGTGAGCCTGGTAGGTCAGCAGTGCTTGGGCTTCCTCCCACGTAGAAGAAATCATCTGAGCCCAGCATGGTGTAGTCTTCCTGAGTGTAGCCCGTCGTGGTAAGAATGCCATCCACAGAGATTGTCACCTGGTAGAGGGACATAGGGACAAAAAAAATCCCAGCAATGACCTTACTGTTCTATCAGAACCCGGGGGCTTCCCCTACCTGTAGCGTCACTTTCATTACGCGGTTGGTGAAAGTATTCTTTCTAATTAGATTTGATTTTGGTATGTGCAGCCAAGTTCCATTTTCTAGTCTGCCTTCCTTGTGACCCGAGCCCCAGTTTTCCCCGGCAGATTCATGGGAGCCTTTGTAGGAATCGCCAAGCTGCGCACCTAGCTCTACCCATTGCAGTCTTTCTTGAGCCAGGCTAGAAAATGGAACCATCCTCAGACGATATCACTTGTCTCAGTTCATTGGTAAAATGATCATTTATTCACTAAATGATAGTTATTCATGGTGGTAGTGAAAAACAGCAAAGGAGACGTGTGACGATGGGGTTGGGTTAGGGGTTGGCCTTTGGTTGTGATTTTTTAAATCATTTTTTTCTTTTCTTTTTCTTTCTTTCTTTGTTGTCTCACACCACACGGACAAACATGCATTCATGGAGTGCAGAAGAAGGGCTTTGCTTCTGATGTGTCATGAATGATACATGCCATGGACAACCCCAGGACACCGACCCCAGCCCTCCCTCTGCTGCCATCACCACCACCAAGGGAAGAAACAACCCAAATCCAAAAGGGAACGCAAACACAGAGAAAGGAATGAAAAGGCAGGAAACCAAACTAAAGAGAATGCCCAAGGGGGGGGGGGGCGGGGAACGGCACCCGTACACCCAACATCCACAAGAAGGGCAGAGGGCTGAGAAGAGAGGGACCAAAAAGCATGCACACACTGCAGACACTGACACACCCATGCAGAAATGATTGGGAGCCATGAGAGAAGGCAGAAGAAAAAAATATCAGGGAGTGGGGAAAAGCGACAAGAAATCAAGGAAATGAAAGAGGGACCCAAATCCAGTGCACACTTACATGCACTGAACAAACTATTCCAACACAGTGGAAATGGGGTGAGGAGAGACAAAATACTAGAAACTAAATGGTAGTCTTTGCCCTGCCTGCCGCCTCCCTCATTGGAAAAAAGAAAAGAAAAGAAAAAGTCCAAACCCAACCCCAATATTGATGAAGGATGACAATGAAAAAGAAGAGTGAGTAAAGAAAGAGAGGCGAGTGGGATTGGACTGGTGGCTGGTGGTCGTTTTGTTAGTAATGAGTAGGGCTGTGAGGGAATGGTTTCTGATGCCGGTGGGGACGTCCACAAGACGAGACAGGAACATGCCATGCAGCGTTGTATGGAGAACACAACTGTTGGAGCTCCCTTGAGCCAGAGTGGGGGGAGGGGGGAAGAGAAGGGTCAGGAAGGTATAGGAGGCACCACCCTTCCCAGATCACCTGTGGCTGTTGTGAGCCACTCCAAAGGGAAAGAAACAAGGGCTTAGGCTTGAGGGGGAGGAAGGGCCATAGGGGTAGGAAGAGACAGAGAGAAGAAAGGCTGCACTACAAATTTCTGCAATCTCTAGTCTGTAACTTGGATGTGGCACAATCTGAACACAAAACAAAATAAATTTAACTAAACAGAGATTCCCCCCCCCCCCACCAAAAAAAAATTAAGGGACAAAATAAAAAAGTAGAGGAAAGGAAATTGTCCCCACCAAACTCAACCAAATATTTAGGACAGGACAGGTGAGTTCCCGTCTTCATTTTTATTTTTGCTTCTTAAGGAAAAAGAATGTTTTCATATAGTTCAATGAAAATATCAAAAGAAGAAGAAACCAGTCTAAAGAGGATACAAGAGGGGTCAGGAAAGGAGAAGGGGGGCAACACACGGCAAACCCAAAAAAAGAGACAATAAGAATGATATCTACCAGACAATGTAGTTTGTTTACCATAGCGTGTCCAATGCCTGAGTGCTTTGCGGAAAGGGGGAAGAAAGGAAATTAAAAAATCGTGAACAGAACGATTGTTAATTAAAAAAACTGAAAACAAAGATGAGTCGTTAGGGTGTTAGTACATTAGTCGGTTAGTAAAATGACACATTGCATGAATGATCTTGTGTTAGTTTTTCAAAAAAAGGTACCCAACACAGAAAGAGAGAGGTGGGGGGAGACAATGAGACCAGGACTCTATGGAAAACTTTCCCACCCAGGCTCCCTCTGGGGGAGGGGCTGCATTGCACCTTGTCATTAGAAGTCCCAGCTTCTTCCAAATAGCTCTGCAACCCAACCTCACCTTGGTTAGAATACCATACTTACATTTCAAGGGCTCTTCTGAGTGCACCCTGGGTCTTGACCCTTCCCACCCTCTTATACATACACGTAGCACCTGCACTGAAAGAAAGGCCCCAGTGTTTCTAGTTACCCAATGTAAATAAGCAGACAGAAAGAGCTGAGATCCCAATATGTGGGGGCCTTTTTTTCACCTCTGACTCTGACTAAAATGATGGACGATCATGACTCTCTCCTAGAAAGAAAAGAACTCAAAACATTTGCAGATCACACCTAGCATAGAAAGGCTACATTGTGTAGCTTAGTCTGGGCTTCCAAAGGGAAGCTTAAGAGACACACAGTCCCTGCCTTTCTGGTAGATGTGTTCACAGAGAAGGAGAGAGAACATCCTATTCTTTCCTTTCCTCTAAATTGAGAACACCCATGTAACAAGAATATATTAGAAAGATTGGTGCCTTCGACTTTTATACCCAGATGGGGTTACCATGCTGGTACTTTGCCAGAATGCTTGCTGTTGGAAGCTCTCTCCTCGTATCCCCTTTAACAATGAGTCTCAAGCTGTCAAGCAGTACCCTAGATGGATTGCAGAAAGAACTGGCAGGTTCAACCTGATAGGAGAATACCCACAGTTGGTCTTCTCATTGTTCATTTAAAGGTGTCCTTATTGATACACTCTGAGCTGAGAAGTTGGGTGGCTGGTAGATTGACAATCCTGGTATTATGTATGTTATTTGATAACGTGCCGTATGGAGGTAAAGAAATTCATGTGATGCTCATGACCTAGGTTCCGGCAGGGTCACTGAAAAGAAATGAGAACAAAAAGCCCTCATTGCTAACAGATCGTTTCCAATCCACAGTAATCCCATAGGGCAGAATGAAACTGGCCCTTTGACTTTGCAAGGCTGGAAATATTTATGGGGCCAAAAGTCTCCTTTTTCTCTCATGGAGCACCTGGTGAGTTCCAACTGTTGACCTTGTAGTTAGCAGATGAGACCCCCTACACCAATAGGACCCCTAGATAGCATTAAAACAAAACAAAACAAACAAAACACCATACCCAATCCTGTGGTTCCGAATTACAGTTTCATTTTATAAAAGGCAGTCTGCATTATTGCCTTCATTCAGAAATCCCCCAAGCAGTACTTGCCCTTGGCCTTGACTTGGAACCAAAGGCAGATCATGAGTTGATGACCATGGCCGAAAAAAAATGGAGAGTGTTCCGCTCCATTCGTCATTGAATGACCCATGAGACCCAGGTGAGCTTTCTTCTGATAAGAAGAAATGTACTGCCATAGGACGCCTTCAGCCTTACACAACTGAAGACAAGACGACCATCAACTGGATTGCAAATGTTCATAAATCTATTTATAGTTTAATTATTTCAAAAGACAAGGGCCTACCACCCCTTCAATTGTATCCCAGAGGACTAAAAATAATAATAATAATAACCTCATGCCTAAATATGTTTTAAATAGTAAAAAATAATCTTCTTAGGTGATTCAATATTGAAAAGATTACAGTTGGAAAATCCAATCTGCTTTTCTGAGATTCTTATCTCTTTCAGCAAATGGTCTTTGGTTGAACATATATAGTAAGGACTTTAATGAGACCCAATTTAGGTACACATTACCAGAGAAATCAATACTCTGGGTGGCACAGTGGCCAAAGCACTCAGCTGCTAACCATAAGGCCAGTGGTTTGAACCCAATAATCACTCCAGCGGAGAAAGAAATCTGTTCCCCTGTACAGATTTATTGTCTGGGAAACCCTATGGGATAGTCCTAGTCTAACCCTCCTGGGTCCATGTGAGTCAGAATTGAGGGAACTACAGACAGCTACTTCCTGCAAATAAATAGCCCTACCCCCTAGGGTGACTGTAGAATGGAGAGCTCTACTTCACTGCCTCCTTGTCACCAGACAGACACAGTCACCTTTGAGAGGGAATGCTGGCCTTGTAAATCATGTGCATGTCATAGTAAGCCTAGCACTCAGACCATGGATGAGCTCATAATCCTTCTGGAACATAAGGTGCTTTGCATATTTAGCCAGTACACATGGTTGGGGAGGATGGTAATCACCATTTCACAAATGGAACCGGTGTAGAAAGGTTAAATGGCTCATCCAAGGGCACTGAGAGGAGTTGGGCTTCAGAACTTGGCATAGAAACCACTCAGGCTGGCTCGTCTCTGGCTGGCCTGCCTAAAACAGCACCACCAATATTTGAATTAATATTTGGTTTATTTCCCCTTTGTTTAAAGAATTTCACTGGAGTGGCAGTTTTTTTTGTTTGTTTTTAAAGTAGAAGTAAAAGTGAGACTTGCTCAGGCTAATTGGAATCATTCCAGAAGGGCAAGAAAGTGTGTGGGGTGGGAAAGCGGGAGAAACAGATGGGTCCATGGGAACTATGGGCTGATTCTGCTCTCAAGTGCATGAAAAGTCTACCTTAAACTGACAAACGCCTACAGGGTGGGTGGTGTTGTGTACCCTCACATCAAACTGGTCAGAGGTCACAGGTCTACTGTTGTTTTAGACTCTGCAGCTCAAACATATCAATCCTTTAAATCTCGGCAAATGCAAATCTAATATGGGTTCTCTTACTAGTTGTGTCCTCTGGATGTGTCCCTGGAGGGTCAGACTGAGGTGACAATATCAGCAATAATGTTCTGTGGCTTTGAAGGAAAAACAAAAAAACGAATCAAAATATCCAATCCACGTGTGTTAAGATGTCCCAGGACTCCAGGTCTCATGTCACTTGCTATGTGTGTTCTTTTCAACACAAGGAGGATAGATCTTCCCTGCCGGGCAGCTTCCTCTGTCTGGGTCCACATAGAAAAGCACACTGAAGCTATTGCCTGGTTTCCATGTGTGTGTGCCTGCACCATTTGGTTAGCTTTTTATCAAACAGTAAACATGCAAACACCTGTCAGTTCTTGTGCTTTCACGATTCCACGGGAAGCTATTAAATCCATCATATCACAGAAGAACACTTGATAAGTACTTTCTGGAAATTTACATTGTGTTTTCTGATTAATTAACGATGAATGCTGCCCCACTGGGTAGAATGACAGATCCACCAGTCGACAAACCAAGTGCAAATGGCAACCTGGGAAAGGAAGGCTCCCACAGACTTTGACTTTTACACAGAAATGTATCCCTCCGCTGTGGGGGGCTGCTGAGATGCGGTTCTTGTTAACAATCGTAGGAGCAATTAGTCACTTGGAAACCACTTCGATTGGCTAAGGCTCTCTGAGAGTAATGTCACCTGACGGAGATGCGTGCTTGAATCGGGAAGTGACAGCAGTTCTCAAGCACGGACAGAACCAGGACAGGCTGCTCCAAGTTGACTTTGTATGTGGGTCCTTCCACTTTCCAGGTCTCCCAGCCAACCGAAGATCTCGGAGGTAGAGACAAGACTAATAAAGGATGGCCGCAGCGCCAAGGTACAGAGAAACAGAGGAATTCAGAGAGAGCCCATGAAATCCATGCTAAGGTTAGAGGTTAAAGTCACGAGGGTGTGTGTGTGGGAAATTAAGGTGGAAAAGGTGATAAACTAAAAAGGAAGAGAGAAGGGAAGATTTGTCTGGAAGGAATTAAAATCATGGCTTCATGGCAGTGGCTAACTTAATTAGAGAGAAAAGAAAAAAATAAACATACAGTCAAAGAATGTGGGAAATCTACCAAGCTGCTGAAACAGAATGTTGTTCCTAATTAAATTCAACAATAACACGATAAGATTCCAATGTAATTAAGAAAATGATAAAAAAAAGGGATGAAAGTACACATAACTTTTATTATCTACACAACAGAGGGCTTTCCCCCCTTTAATAATAAGCGAATGGAAGTACAAAGGGAAACATAATTTAATAGTGAAATTGCAAAGACTGGGAGAAAGTGAGGCTTTGACATCTCAAATCCGCATCTCTTGCCTCTCCACCTCCCCCATCACCTGCTCCATACACCTCCTGCCCCACTGCTGAAGAAGCAAGTGCCTTTCCCACCATTCTTCCCTTTCAACCATTACCTGCCGGAGGTTGCGTGTCACTTTGACATCATGCCAGGCGTTGTCGTTGAACTTGCCATTCACGGGCTCCACAATGGCCTCAAAGGCCCCGGACCCCAGATTAATGACCAAGGACACTGCGCCATCCTTCAGAGCCAGGTTGACATAGTCAGCCGACTTGCCAGTGTGCAGGATGAGCCCATTACGCTGCCAGGTCTTAAAGGAGAGAGTGATCTCATCGCTGCTGCTCTGGATCGGGTTCTGAGACAGGTCATAGCACAGGTACTCGGAGCCCCGGAAAGTGGCCACGTTCTCCTCTCGAGCTGTAGGAAGAGGGAAAAGGGAATGGGTCACCATGGGCTGGCACGAGTCAGTAACAGGAAAGGAGGTCCCAAAGGCCCTACTGCTGCCACATCCCCCCTTTGTTTCCCACCTGCATATACCTAAATGCCAGGGGAGAATAACTGAAAAAGAATTACAGAGAAGTTATTTGCTTGCACGAGGATATACAACAAACATCATACAGTAGAACTTGCTGCCTTTCCTTCAGATTTCCTCAAACACGAACCTTAAGGGAAACGTCACGCAAACAGGTCAAGAGAAGCTTACATGACTTTAGCTTTGGTAATGGCTTTTAAGTGCTTGTCGAAGAGCTAATTTGGAATGGATAAAACAACTGGCCTGAGAAAGGACTCTTTAGCCTTAGGTACTTTTTTATTGACCAATAACTAAAAATCAATTCCCCTGAAAGATCTGGCTCCGATTTCTCTCCATTAATAACACAGCTAACTTCAGTTCCTCTGCTAGAGTCCTGAACCTAGTGGACCATGACTGAGCTATTGAATAGGTGGGTGGACCTGAGAAGATGAGCAAGCAGCTTAGGAAAGGGGGAGAGAATGGAATTGGGTGGGGTGTTTGGACCACAGAGCAATACAAGGGAGCTTGAAAACATTTGCTGGGAAAATGGAATGAAAACAACATGAAGTTTCTCCATGAATGTTTTGCTGTGATGACCACACAACCCAGACGATGGCTCACCGGGAGTCCACACTCTCCTTCAAGATGGATGTTCTCGATACTCAAAACCAAAAACCAAACCCACTGCCACTGATGTGATGCCAACTCATAGTGACCCTATAGGATAGGGGAGAACTGCCTCTGTGGGTTCCCAAGACTATCATTCTTTATAGGAGTAGAAAGTCCCCCTTTCTCCCATGGAGTGGCTGGTGGTTTTGAACTATTGACCTTGGAGTTAGTTGCCCAATTGGTAACCACTCTGCCACCAGGGCTCTACAAAGAATCCCCAAACCAAACTCACTACTATCGAGTCAATGCCAACTCCGATAATTCTTTGGGGTCCTTTGTTTCCCTGCACAGAGATGCCAAGGCTGTTAACATGGTGTGTGCGCGTGGCTCATCTCGGAATCTTTCTGGAGTACACATATCCTGGTGAGGCCCGAATAGTACTTAAAAGAGGCTGTTTTCAGGGCTGTGGACAGAATTTTCCACACGGAGTGGTTCACTCCTGCGCATTTATGAAAAATACCTTGTGATCCATGATGGCATCAAGGGTGGGAGGAGGAGGGAGAGAAGTTATAGCCCGAGGACCCGAGAGCTGCTCTTTGTGTGCCACCATTTCCCAAAGAACCCCAAAATTCCAAGTTTTCATTTGACTTTCTAAGTAGTTATAAACATTATAAAAGGCCACAGTAAGAGGGCAGACCACAGGCACTTCAAAAAGCCCCTGGGGAAAAATTGATGATCTTTTAATTTATTTTTCCATAGACTTTTAGAATCCCCCTGATAGATCTTAGTCATTTGTTGGTTTGATTATATAAGCATGATATAAAGTATATAGGTAGATGGACTTCCACTTGTTCTCCTGCCAAAAAGCCTGGTTAAACTGACCAATGTCCTATCATGGTTGGCCAGAAACATCAAGAGCAGCTTATGAATGTAAGAAAACTGCCAACCACAGAAATTTAGATACACATTTTCCCTCTCAAGACCCCTACATTCATCCATGGCCATCGAGTTGATGCCAACTCATAGCGACACTATAGGGCAGCGTAAAACTGTCCCATAAGTTTATGAGACCATAATTCTTTAGCAGTTAGGCAGCCAACAAGTAACCACTGGGTCACAAGAGCTCCCTCTAAAACAGTGGTTCTCAACCTTCCTAATGCCGCAACCCTTTAATACAGTTCCTCATGTTGTGGTGACCCTCAACCATAAAATTATTTTCATTGCTACTTCATCACTGTCATTTTTCTACTGTTATGAACCAGGCAACCCCTGTGAAAGGGCCATTCAATCCCCAAAGGGGTCGCAAGCCACAGGTTGAGAACCGCTGCTCTAAAGACCAGTGGGTACGATGCGAGGTTTACGGCGGAACTGTTCTAGTGGAAGAACAGATGACAGCTACCCCAAGTCTAGTGGTTGTCATTGGACTTGGATTTTGTTTTGATCCATTGCCTGAGGGTTTCCAATGAATGGCAACCCAGGACCAACTTATATTTTCTGTTTTTAAGCCCTCTTTGCCTTTTTGTGACATGTGTGACCCTAGCAGGTGTGGTCCTGCCTTTGTAAATTAGTGCTACCGAAAGTTTTGTTTCCAAATACAACCATCCTGGTTCATCATTTAAATTTTGAATATGTACGCATCAATGTTTCATTAAGTCTAAAAAAGAAGTCCTCCACATGTATGCTTTCTTTTCTCAGCAGTGTTTTAAATCCAGTGCCATAACTAAACTAATGATACTATCGATAGAATTTCCTTATGCCTCATGGGATGATTTATGATATACTCCAATAAGATGATAATGGTGATTCAGGGACTTTTAAAAGCAAATAGATAAATTATTATTTTGTCATAAATTATCAAGGGTTCATGAGGGAGGGGGAGAGGGGGGAGGAAAGGGAAAAAAAGAGGACCTGATACCAGGGCCTTAAGTGGAGAGCAAATGTTTTGAGAATGATGAGGGCAATGAATGTACACATATGCTTTACACAATTGATGTATGTATGGGTTGTGATAAGAGTTGTATGAACCCCTAATAAAACTATTAACAAATAAATAAATAAAATAAATAAATTTCAAAAAAACCCACAACCAAATAGATATATGAATGGATTTTGAGTTCTCAATCATAGCCCTGATATAAGAACAATTAGTTCTTGTGACATAGCCCGACTGGGTACCTGAACTCACAAGACCACTGAAGATATGGGTGCTAGAGCAAAATGTGATGAAGAAATCAGATCGTGGCAGGCTATCAGAAAGAACAGCATCCAGGGTCTTACAGAAATGTCTGAAAACAAGCAGCCATCTCAGTGAGGTGTCAACTAAGTACACATTCAAGAGACACACCGGCCTGTGCGATTCAAGGATTCTAAATATAAAATCCAAAACTGAGGAAGTAATTGTATCAGAGCTTAAGTTCTAAATTCTATGGATGATCTGAAAACCCAAAATTCATTTGCAGAGTCCCTTCATCAACTGAGTGGTGAGATGACCACTCACTACATACTATTAATTAATGATCACATTAAAACATCAACCTCAACTTCACTCTTCAGGAAAAGAAGAAAGCGAGTTTCTCGTATAGTCTCCAGAGGCTTCAAAGATTTGTGTCTACCCATGAATGCTAAGAAGCTATAGGGACATGGTGGGTTAGGACTTGTAATTAAGCACAAGCTCAGCAGCTCAAAGCCGCTGCTGAAGAAAGATGCGACTTTCTACTTCCATAGATTTACAGTCTCGAAAACCCACAGGGGCAGCTTTCTTCTGGTCTACAGGGTCACTGTGCATCAGAATGGACTCATGGCAATGAGATGAATGTGTATCTGTTGGCACACAGATCTAACTGAAAGGGTATGTCTATCCCTACATGGCCACAATATAGCTCAAACATGTCAAAAACACTGCCATCGAGTCTGCTCCAACTCAAAGCAACTCCATAGAACAAGGAAGAACTGGCCCTGTGGGTTCCCAAGACTATCAGACTATCACTCTGTTTGTTTGTTTGTTGACTATAACTCGTTATGGAAGCAGAAATCCTCATCTTTCTCCTGAGTAGCAGCTGGTGGTTTTGAACTGCTGACCTTGCAGTTAGTAAACTAACACATAACCACTATGCCACCAAGGCTCATAGCTAAACATATATAAATATCAAATAATATTCAAACCATAACTCATAGCTGATGCATTTTACCAAAATTAGTCAAAGAAAAGAACAGCAAGTAGAAATGTAATATTGTCTGTGTGTTTGAAACAGATCCACCGAGGCCCTAATCACTGCCTGTTGCCATGACCTCTCCATTCATTTGTGAAGAAATGGCATTGCTAACATACAAGTGGACAAGCCTCGCTCCATAGACCTGGAGGTGACCCTGATTGAGAGAACGAGATGACAAATCAAAGCAGCCATCACCTCTAAGCTCTTCCCTATAGACCTGAATGTCCACAGACGCAAATACTGTGTGTGCCCTCGGTGCTCCATGTGGCATATTAATAGGTGTCTTCTATAAACATTTAAGTTACACCTTGTGTGCCCACTGAACTGAGAGAAATGAGCAAGGAAAGAGGTGCCTCTTAGGAGAGCCTTAAATGAATCACCAAGTACCCTTCAAGAGGGGAACACAAGACAGAACAGCACCTGGACATTATTTAATGCTCTAGATGGTGCTTAATAGATTTTGTATAATTAGATCAAGGAGTCTGCCAAAATAATAAATTTTAGCACTAGAAGAAATACTAAAGATCAGCCAGTCCCGTGCCCTTCTTTTAGTAAGGAGGAAACTGAGGCCCGAGGAGGATAACGAGTTACCCAAATCCACACAGGTAGTTTAAGGCACTGCCTAGAGGCCTCTGGACGGCCTCCTCCCAAGCACCAGTCACCTTTTTTTTCCCCAGAAGCCCTGGGTGGTCAAAACCTTTAACACACCGGGCTTCCAAGCGAAGGTTGAAGATGATCAATTTACCCAGAGATCCATCAGAAGAAAGACCTGCTACGCTGCTTCCAGTAAGTCATCCCCATGGAGCACACTCCTGCTCTGACACACGATGCGCTGTGAGTCAGATACAGGGGAGGCTGGTTCGGGTGCCCTCTGCTCACCATTCTGGCTATGCCACATGCTCCTAACCCATTTCTCAAAGCCACACATGATTCTGGGGAGCCATACCTGGATTTACAGACTGTTCCAAACCTTGGATAAATTGACCAGGAACCTAGCCCTCACGCCCTGTGCAGATCACTCTTGCTCACCAAAAGAAATGTGTCTCTGATCCCCAGGAATCTGAATGTGTTTGAAACAAAAGTTT